AAGACAGACCTAAATGATTGTGTTCCATTTTCTATATCATACCTAGCCAATTATATGCAGTACATTTCCACGAGTACCACATATAATTGCAATACAGAAAGCAAACACGCAAGTACAAAAAATATTGGGGATAAATCCACTGATCATTTGGAGGCTCACATATGAAACACTAACTTCTGCGCACCACTTTTTCTATGATCACAGCTACTCCCAACCCTAAAGACTCTAGTACATTAGAGATTTTTATCCAAGACTAGTACTGTCTCATTTAATGATGCAGATTGAATTATCATAAGGAATTGAAGTATATTGTACTGTAACAGAAGTTCCTGAAGAAAACTGGAGCAGCATACYTGATATTATAGGACCGTTTGGTGGAGGTGGTTGATAGTTTCACTGATGATTTGGAAAAAWTTTTAAGTCAGTTTGTCTGTATATGTGAGGAGAGTGGCTCAACACACAACTTTTTTTGTCAATAGATTAGGTACTCTTGAAAGTATTTACAACAGGATGCTTCTGGAAGTTGGCTTTATGAAGGAGATTTTCACTTCTTTCGATTCAGATGGGGAGCATGTATTCCGTACACACACACACAAGCCAATACCGCCCCAAAAGAGCATAACAGTGTATTAATAAAGCGATGTTACGCAATAACATGCTTGGGAAAACTAATAACAGAGCAATGCAATACCTCCATTATCACGTTCAAATCGTTGCCACGATCTATTTGGAAAAATCCCGTGTGTGACATAAGCACTGATTTTTGCTGCTCCATGTGCAGCCAGCACTTTCTATAACGAGTAGAGAGTAAGTGCACTTTCTATAGTATCCTCAATAAGAATTTCCAAGACAAGAATTCAGTTACCTGGCATTCTATTAGAGTACCGCCTGATTGAACCAAATCATCAACAATCACAACATGCCGTCCCTTCGGTTCTCCCTCCTTTAGGCGCACAATTCTTTGGTCTCCTTCCCGAACTTTGGCACATACAATCTACATATCAACAAGATCGTTGTGCAATTAGCATTACTTAAAACAAGTTTAAGCATCAGGCTATAGATCGTTGATCAACGTTCCTCATAAAACAAGGGCATTAATTACATGTTTGTCTACCATGTTTTTTATTTCCTCGTGTTTGCGTGAGTTTTGGAGGGATTATTATAATATAACAGATGGAAATTGGAAAACTATTAAAACAGGTATTCAAGACAGTTCCAAAATACATCAATCTCCAAGAGGACTATGTGGCATAGTCGAACCTGAACCACATTTTTCCTATCATATTTTTTTGGGTAGTAGAAATACAAAAGATGTGGCCCATCATCATTTATGCTTCTTTTTCTTCTTTTAAATAATTTTATATGAGAGTGTCATCCCATTTTCTACCAGAAAAATTAGTGGCTCTATACAGTTCTCGTGGTTATAATATATTGTCCATCAAACTATGGTAAACTAGTTGAGTCACAACTGACAACATTAGAAATCTTATCTATAAAATTCAATTATACAATGATCAGTAAAAATTACACATTAAACCCAAAGAAAATGAGTAAAAAAACTACCGTACTATAGAAATATTTTCATTTTGAATCAGTAGGGGGAAAAAATTAATCACATTGCTGTCACAAAACGAGTCTAAATTTAAGAAGCATGGCGCAGTTTCAAATATAAGATGCATATTTGAATTGTAGTTTAAGGCGTTAGTTCATCTTGTTTTGTCACTACCACATTTTCAAGAACACCTATTGAACTATGAAGCCAATTGAAAAAATTTGAAGAGGCTGAGCAGCTGTTGAGTATTATGGTAAATCTTTAAGAAATAGTCCTCCTGATAGAAGAGTGTAGATTCCGGAGAAATCAGAGGACTGCTCTATGAAATAGTTATTTCAGCAGTTCGTGGACAAAGCAGATACGAGAAACATCGTGAAGGCTTTTGGAAACACAAGATGCCAAAGAAAAGAAAGTTTTCCTGACGGACATTACTCCTAGGTGGAGTTAATTCAAGGGAGCTTATTCAAGAAGRATGAGGAAGATGCTAATGAATCCTAATTGGTCCAATCTTTGTTATCGTGCAAATTCAGTTCAGGGAGTTTAAAAGGTATAGTGATAGACATCCCTGAGTGCCCAAAGCCAAAACTCTAGAAATTCCATGTGGACATAGATTGAGAGAACATGCAAAAAACTTATGTGAGTGAATGAAGTTTTTCCACTATTATGGGAGCTGTAGCTTGAGCGAAGTAATAGAACTTTTGAGGGAAAAGGAAGGAAAGGGAGGAGATATAGGCCTTGAAAAAATACAGTTTCTTGTCATATCATAAGACAGGGATCCATTTAGCTTCCTCCTTCGTACTTTTCATCAAATCCATTGAAAATTTTCTTTTATATAAAACAAATGTTAAAGAGAAAACTGAAATAAATTCATGTTCACAGATGCAAGCAGATCCGTGTTAAAATTACCTTCAACATATACCTCCAAATTTAGCTCTTACTCTAACAAATATGACTGCTGCCTACAAATTTGACATCCGTACATTTTACCAATGAATCTATCAATCAAATTAATCATGGAAACCATTGATTCTCATCGACAAATTTGCTTGGCATCAAAGCATGTGAACCTAAACCCATATATGCGAACARACTAGAAAYAAAACAACTTGGACTTCCATTCAAATGTCAATTAGGGAAGAAATATCCCACTTCACCAAGTTCTTACATTGTACGTTTGCTTCTAAAGGATGGCAGATTCTGTTTGAGATTTTCGGGTTTGTTGGTTGTATGCCGAGAAAGGTTGAGGATTGGATGATGGAAAGCTTTTTTGGATGGCATCCCAAAGGAAAGGCGTATTTTTAGTGGAAGTGTACGTTTCGAGCGCTTCTTTGGAACCTATGGATGGAAAGGAATCTTCGCTCRTTTGATGATATTCTAAGTCTTTTGATTCTTTTTGTAATAGTGTACATATTACAGCCTCTTGGTGGTGTCATATGAATAAGAAATTCTTTTGTAACTACAACCTTTCCATGATCCTTCAAGATTGGAGAGCGTTGATTTGTAGTTCCTTTCTGGAGGGGGCCTTCTCGTCCCTTGTCCCTTAGGCTGTTTTTGTGTTATTCTCTTTTATGAATTGTCTCTTTATCCAACAAAAAAAATGTCAATTCCTACACATTTTAAGCTATAAAAAAACCAATTCTTTTGAATGTAGGACTTTTAAATTTATTGTTAAAAGACCTTTTTCTCCCGATAAACCTTAGGTCCTTCCCCCTGAAATAGGCCCCACGAACCTTAGAATAACAAGTGCATAAAGAGTTGTAGCTAATTTTGAATTTCTTAATATACCCCTCAAGTCATGAACTGAAAGATAAGTTGCATGGCTAGATAATTTGAAGTCATGAGTTAAAACATTGATGGCCACCCACTTATAGCTTATGAGCTTCCATACATCAAATGTTATGAGGTTATATGGTTGACTCATGAGATTAGTCACAATGCACAAAAACTAATTCAAATGCCTACAATTCAGAAAATCTTAATGTCTAGGTATTCCAAATTTTGACTTCCTTGAATTGTATTTCTTTGCTCATTGAGTCCACCACATTCCAAATTTCCTCTTAAAATTTCCACTAACATCTTGATTTGTTCACTCTTTTGAGAAACTCTCCTTGTTTGGTCCTTTAAGTTAACGTATAAACTTGTCCGCACTATCCCCACAGTGCCTTCTATGAGCCTTTTCTAGCTTGCATCATATGAAATTAATCGCCAGTGTGTTAGGTTCAACTCTGTTGCTAGTGAAATTCATGTCAGAATCTTAGTGAAGCTTAGTAGTCTGCAATTTAGCAGGGGAAGTTGTGAAAAACCATAATCATATTAGGGCTAGTACAACTTCGTAGTTCTATGTACATTAAATTCATTAAGTGGTTTTTTTTTAAATGGAAGTTTTGTATTCTAGAGACCATCTCATCTTTTCAACTTGAGAGAAGATTTCTATATTGCCATTTCTGTGTTTATCTTAAACTCTTGACTTCTTAACTCATTTATGTGGAGATTAACTAAATTGATAGGTTTATAAGGACTAAAGAACTAAAACCAACCTATTCAACTCTCTTTAAGTTGTGTAGCGCCTAATAACACTTGATCTCATTGTTTATTCCACTATGGGCCTCACACCTCTTGATGATAACCAGGATGATATTAGAGTCAATATAATATATTTACCGTAGGAAAATGCTGAAGCTGTTTATGAAATCTTTTCCATGCTCCATCATCAGGAAATGCAATCGAGACCTGAAAAGCAACAAATACTGTTACTTCAATGAGCAAGATGGTACAAACTAAAATATATTCAACAGTTACACTTCAAAATTCTAGATCAATCTTATCTCAGAATCCAGTTTTGAGATAAATATTCAAAAGAACTTTATCATGGAAGATTATAAATCAACTTCAATAAGAGAATATCTAGAACTATAAGGACATAAGTTAGCTGGCCCAGACACACGGATATCAAAAAAAAAAAATAACTATAAGGACATAAGTTATAAATGAATATGTAGGAAGAAACAAGAACAAATAGAACCAAGAGCTTACAATGTCAGAATCTGGTAACTGCTGCAATCTAGATTTTAGCAAAGGAATTCCACTCTCAAAGCATGGTAAAATATTGTCGCCGAAGTAAAATCTCTCCTAATGAGAAGAGCAAGAAGAAGATCTTAATAATACAGTCACTGACGATGGGGAAAAACTCAAATAAATTTTTTTTTTAAAAGAAAGTGAAAAGGATTTTTATAGGCAGATCAAGTCTTCTAAGATAGAAGTTGTGTTTATCTTATATTTAAAGAGAGTAGCTCATTAACCTGCAGGGCATGAATGTCAAAAGTAACTAGGCTGGTTGGCCCTCCTCTTGAAATTGGTATATTTGATAGGATCCGAGCAAGAGTAAAAGCTGTTGCAACATCTCCTTCGTCCTCCATACGCTCAAAAGTTCCAGTTGGAAAAAAGGGAAGAACAAGTGTAAACGAAGAGATGAACAATTTTGGCAGCGCATAAATAACGGAGAGTTGCTCAAAGATTACAGCGGGAGAACTGAAGGATGCCAGAAAGGCCACACGCCGTCCACGAATTCCTTGAGCATTAGGTATAAATATGTTCGGAAATCCATCTTCAAACTTCCTAACATAAGAACCTTGCAAGCATTAATCCAAAGGACGTCTGATTTTGAATAAATTTTAACAAGAGCAAAAACAAGTAGAAATTAAAAACTTAAGCAGCTTGTGTTTGTCATGCTTTTCTTGATGACAAATACGTAAATAATTTCCACAAGCAGAGTATATGCAGGGTTGTTTTGACGTGAAAAAAATCTATAAACTCAAAAAACACGAGAGCTTCCAAAATCTCAATAAGTCGACGTTGTGATCAGGAGCACAAAAAACTTCGCTGCGCTGCGATACGATCATAATAGCCTCCTTTACGGGGACCCTTTGATGTCTGAAATGGAAACTATCGACTGAAAGCTCATCCAAACATTCTGGATCCTCACATTAATAAACATCGTGGTCGAATTAAAAATAATGCAACGAATAAAGACTATCGAATGAAAATTCTCCTACTGATTTCCTCCGATACAGCTATAATAATAAATAATTTAACTAACCTCCATGTGATATTACGGAGCTCAATTGCATCAGACTCCGCAGCGATTTTCTCTGCGAGAATCTTCGTCTCCGCACAGAAAAAGAGGCAGATCCTCTTGCCGTCGCTTTTAGAAGTCAATTCCAGAGCCGCGGCGGCCGAGGCAGCAGCCATTGGTACCGAGGTCGAGATAGAAGCAGAATTTTGAATTGAGCAGAAAGGATCAGTACCAGGAACGCTTTCGACAGTCCACTGGTAAGAATTCTCAAAATTCTTGATCTCGCACTCAATCCGGTTCTTGATCTTCGAACGTCCGATCACATTCGATCTARAAAATGGCACCGAAGATGAACTCCGGGAGAATTTGATGGATGAGTTAGGGCTTTTGAACGGGAAGCGAAGGGGGCGATTTGCCGCCATATGGCGGATGTGACTCTCGTGACTGGCGCCGTTTTTATTTGCCTTGGATGGCTCTTTAACCGGTTGCCCATGCCGGTAGTGGGGATGAAGTCAAAAATACCATTGTGCCCCTAAAATCGTGCGTTTTTCTGCTCGATACGATGACGTTTGGGCTTTCGTATGTTTGCGTGGCGGAATTGCCGAGGCCGCCTGGTAATTTTCCCCTTGGTATGTTATAAATTAGTTTTTATTTATACAAAATTGGCAAGTGTTTGGTGGATTGGTTAACTTGTTTTTAACAAAGTGTGGTGGTTTTTCTTTCCTAAAAAAACAAACAAACAAATAAAACAAAACAACGTGCGGTTTTTTACTTAAAATTTACATGATATATTATTTTTAAAATATAATACAATATTTTATTAATTTCTTTAAAAAATCTTGCAATTTGATAGCATATGTTAGATATATAATAATTCAAAATTATAGGGCATTTGTCAAATAAATATGAACGCTTTTTTTTTCAAACTAAATAAATATGAATGCTCATTTTAACAAAACAAAATCATATTTTTCATTTAAATTGTATACTTTAAATGATACATAATTTATCTTTTAGATACGTTGGATGGAGATTCGAATCCACAATTARTCTTARCTAATTGAGTTGGATTTAGATTGACTTAACAATAAGAATTGAAAATGATTYAATGAAGKTAGGCATGCTTAAGTAAAACTTAATCGACATTTATAGAYTACCATTYATTCCAAAATCTATTTGATGTTCAATAATTAATTAATTTTACATATAAAAGAGCACATTTATTTTATTAAATTTCTTTAAATATAGCTCATACAGAAATATTAGTCATCGTGTGTTTGGAAGTGATTTTGGTTGTCATTGTCAAAATCACTTTTTATTTTCAATTGATCATGTTTGTTAAATAAAAAATTTGATTTTATAAAAAATTAGAACGATTTTTAAGGTATCATTGATTTTTAAAAAATCAATTATGTTTGAATTTTTTTTTCCGATTACTTCACATGAATGATAAATTTTTAAGTAAAAAACGAAAACCGCACCTTGTTTTGTTTTTACATTTTCTTGGTTTTTTACTTAATCTATTACCCTATTGGTTTCTTTCATCACGATTTTACCTCTTTCACCTTTTTTTTTTTCTCTTTTGCAACTTCGTATATTGTTTCCTTTTTATGCAAATGCACAACTTTCTACATTATTATTAACTTATGTGCTAACAATGTCTTTCTCGAACATTCAATCTACACATTTATAGATATTTAAATTCGCAATCATATGAGTGATAAATTTTGGCCAATTATCAAATGGGAAGTTACTTGACAAAATTATATTTGAGATATTTTTTTAGTACAAAAATTATATTTTGGATCAAGGGCAAATTTACACGTCTTTATAAGTTAATTTTAATATTCACAAATGAAATGATGTCAAGTATCTTTCTCATAATCATTAGATCACATTGACTCATTAGATTAGTCCATACAAAGATTGAGCTCAAACACAGTTCATGTGAATAATGTCTATATAAAACTCATTAATACCTTGTAATAGAGGGTGTCACATCTCATTTGGTGCATTCGGATTCAGCGCCAAGCATAGGATTCACAGTCAAAACCATCTACAAGCATTTAGAGCAAAACAAGGTAGAACATCCCGAGGCAATCAAAGTTGAAGACTCGAAAAATTGAAGACTACCAAACTTCAAGAATTTGATCGTCTCTTTGCAAGCTACAAGTCAAATACTTCGTCAAGTAACAAACCGAATAACGTCAACAAACTACAAGCCGAAGACTTCATCAATTCACAAACTTAGAATTTCGTTAAATTACAAGTTAATTACTTTATCAAGCTACACGCTGAATACTTCAAAAATCTTAAACATGTTCAAAGCCGAATACCTCAAATATCCTCCAACAAACTAGAAGTCGAGCAACCAATTTCCTTGATATGAAAACAAGCCCATCAACCTTCAAATCAAATTTACATCTCAGAAAAATATTATAATATTATATATTAACACTTTCTACGTAAACACAAATCAACTTCATTAAATTTGAGTTTCTCCCCGTAAAATTCCTAACAATGAATAAATTTCATTCTCAATATGTTTTTAATATGAATTGTATTGTGATTCTAAATTTACATTAAACACATCACCATCGGGTTGAATTGAGTTTTTCTCAAAATATCATTAAAATTTATAAGAATTTGTACACGTTGTTGATACCCAAAAAAAAAGAAAAAGAAAAAAAAAAGAACAGAACAAAACAAAGGAAATTTTTAACTTTCTATACTGCAAAAGCATGAAAGAAAAAAACTTGTATCATCTATAATCTAAAATAATGTAAGATTCATTTAATAAAACAACCGTTTAAATGGGGACGCAGTAGAATATGAATGATATTTATATCGTTTAGACATCTCGTTTTGTCACATTTCTCTTAATGATATTTATTTTTTCTGTTAACAAAAAAAAAAAAAGAAAAAAGGAACACCCACCACTAGTTGATTTCATTGTTCGAATATGACCATTGAGGCAGAGAAACAGAACCACCAAAAATTTTGCAGTCTATCAAAACAGACTCTGTACGAAGCTGCACCACACTTTAGTTGCATGAACTTTATCTCTTAAATGGAAAAATCCATCTTCAAAATTTCAGTGGTTCTGCTGCATCCTTACGATCAATTTTATTGCCACATAAGGCCCCTTCCCCCCAATATCCAACTAACACTAAGGCCCTGGCCCCGATTCTGTGTCAGTCCAATACTGCTGCCTCTCGCTCACGAGTTCCCCCTCTCTTCGCCAACGCTAGGCTCGAACACAGGTCAGCTTGAACCCACCCGCGAAATTTCCAGAACAAAGTATAATCGAAGTTATTGGCTCAATCTGATTTCTCATCGAGTTCTTTTTCCTCCCCATCTGGCTGTTAAATCAGCATTGCGTGTGTTTCTCTTCCCTTTTTTGCTTAGTATTTATGTGATAATATGCACTATGGTGGGCGTTGATCATTGGTCAATGGCCTCTACTTATGTTTGTTCTATTTCAATTTTGCTCAATCTGCGGCTTGCTGGGGACTTCTAGTTGTCTTATATTGATTGGGCTGGAGGCGAAATCGAAATCATACGATCTTGTTTTGTCTGTTCGTAGATTTCTTCCTCGTTTACATCGATTGCCCGGTTCTTTGTCTGCTAGATTCCAGAAGATCAAAAGAGCTATAAGTTTGTTTTGGTTTGTTATTGTGCATAGATTAGACTGCTCTGAGCCGTTTGGGTCCATTTATTTTTGTGTTATCATCCGCTCAAGTTTTTACTCTTCGATTTATCTTGCGAATTTGGAAGAAGGGATTTTTTTTTTTTTTTTAGCCCTCGACTATGCACTTTTTCCAGTCGTCATTCTTGATAAAATCCCAGTAGCTTGAAATGTTATCGGGTCTGTCAGTAGAAGTTGACAGGTCTTTTATATATATATAATTATATCCTCTCACGTGTCGGTTCGTATAATAATTGTTAACTATTTATATCATCAGGAGAGAAAATGACATCGTAGACGTTCAAATTTATGGCCTCTTGCTTTGATATCATGTTAAATTACTACTAAACCAAAAATTTTAATTCAAGGCTTAAGTTGATAGGTCACAATAGACTGAGTTCTTATTTATATATTCTTAATAATTTGTGTATACTCATTCAGTGGTGAAGACTTAACCTGGATTTTCATGTTGATGTTTCCTTACCCTTCCCAGAGCTTTGAGAGATCTCTGGCATTTGGTTTCTTATTTATCATACATGTCTCTCTTTTGTAAATTTCAGGTTCAGGGCAGATTCTTTCTGTTGGTAAATTGTARCTTTTTTGCCTGTATTGGAGTAATTGCTAAAAGAGGTAAACTTCATCATGTCACGTAAGGCACTTGACTACGAGTCAATTAATGAAAATGTGAAAAAGGCTCAGTATGCTGTCAGAGGAGAACTATATCTGCGAGCTTCCGAGCTTCAGAAGGAAGGGAAGAAGGTATAAAGTTCTCTGCTAATCATATAGTTCCAATGCTGTTAAGAAATCTCCTCGGGTTGTTTAAGGAGTTCGATTAATTGGTTTTGTTTTACCTTTGATCAATACCTTGTCCTACTGTGATTTATTGCTAATTTCTTGGAATAAACATGGCAGCTTTGATAATTTTGATATCTGACCTTCAATTAAGATACGAATCACACAATGTTTATCCGTGGTTTTGTCATCTTTGCATCATTGATTCCATTCAATGCACTTGCAAGTCTAACTCCTGTTTCAGTTTCGTCCAAAGTAACTTTTCTGCTTGTTTGACTCGGTACTCTAGCTTATACACCTATTGCTCATAATTTCAAACATTTCTGCAGATTATTTTCACAAATGTTGGGAATCCTCATGCTCTTGGACAGAAGCCATTGACTTTTCCACGTCAGGTTTGTTACTACAACCACTTTTATTAGTTGCTGTCTGATCTTTTTTGTTTCTTTTGAGACCTAAGTGAACTCCTGTCCCTATGGTCAGCATAAAAACTACCTAACTCTTCTACAGGTTGTCGCTCTTTGCCAAGCTCCCTTTCTGTTAGAAGATCCTAATGTAGGATTAATATTTCCAGCTGATGCTATTGCTAGAGCCAAAAATTACCTCTCATTGATTCCGGGAGGTCTAGGTAATTTCTTATTTGCTTTCTCAAGTTAGAGAAATTTGGGATTTAATCGTTGAATGATCTTGCTGGTGAGAAGGGGTGTCATGAAATCATAAAAGCAAGGACACAACTTTAGTTTCGAAATTTCTTTTCTATACTATTTTCACCGTTGGTACATTCAAATTCCTTATGATCGCATAAATCTTATATATATAAACATTGGCTTTCAGGACCACATTTATCCATTTCATCTGTCTGGCTTATTTATTTTCTTTGACTTTTCTAAACTTGACAACTTCAATTACTCGGTTTCCTTTTATTTACTACTTGGAAGTACAACTGATTGGGGAAGTTCTGAAATTGGTTTAGTAGAAGTTAG